CCAAAAAAAAAAAAAAAAAAAAAAAAAAAAAAAAAAGAAAGAAAGAAAGAAAGGAGAGCCTAATGAAAGCCTCCCCTGCCTTAATAAAAGGACCATTTCTGAAACCGGGGAAGTTTTTCCTTCTCTTGGGGAGACTACAATTTGGAGACCTGCGTTTGGTCTTGAACCTCACACTTGAGAAAGGACACAGGCAAATCAAAGAGTGTCCTGATGAGGGGGGCCAAGACCACTGGAGGACTAGAAACTATGTTGAACCCAGACTTCTTAGCACAGGTGTAGCCTCCTGAGCTGCACACAGAAGGCAGAGAGGTGTGGGCTTATAGAAACTGGTAGGATGTCATTGGTTCCCTTAAAGTCTTAATTGGAGGGAGACCAGTAATGTGAATCGAGCCTAACTGAGAGATTTATATATGACAGGATACTATGTCATCATCTCTCTGGTCTACCTGCCGCCATGACAGCTGACATAACCAAAGGAGTAGGAGTGAGGTGGGGTATCAGATACTTTATCTTGTCCAGGGGCCATGTTTTTGGGCACTGCTGTTCCATTATGTAACCCACCGTCAGATAAGCTGTGTCCAGGGGATCGTTAAAATCCCCATCATCAAATTATAACTCATGAGGGGAGGTGGTTTATATTAACTGAGATCTAAATCCTCAGTCAAGGGTAGCTAACCTGGCCCCAAAGAAAGATACCACCAAACTCTCTTATGCTATTTTTGATTCTTCAGCTGGACACAAAAGAGAACAACAGTAAAATCATTATTTTAGCTCAAAGCATTTGACTTTGGGGCGGGGGGAGAGTCTGATCCCTGGTGGAGAATCAGGGAGAAGGCAGAGTTAGAGGTTTTCTGTTTGGCTTACTTCACTCTAGTTCTGTTTGATTCACATTAGGCCCTGGTAGCATCTGGCTTCTGCAACCTGAGCTTGTTAATATGTCTCGACACAAGTCTAGAGAAAGCTAGTAGAAGAGGTTGAATGTGTAAAAGCCTGAAGCAGAAATGGCAGAAGGCAGGACACCCCCTATTAATAGCGTTCATCTCTCCCAAGAGTTGTGTGGTAGCAGAAGGAGCTGACTTGTTCTGCGTGACCCAACAGATAGTACCAAGATCGGGTGATACAAGTTTCTTTGAAGCAGTACGGGTTTATGAGGAGGAGGAATTTTCTACCAGTTAGATGGACCACCTTCTGTGCTAGCGAGTTCCCCATCACTTAGGAGTGTCCAAGCAGCAATCACATGATGGAAAAATTCTGGAAGGGAGTCAAGTAGAGGATGAAGTGTTGAGCAAAGTCACATCGAAGTTGAATGCTGAGACTAGATTTAAAAATCTGTTTCTTCCTTAAAGTCATCCCTATTGATGTGATTTATCTTCAGACAGATGGGGGTTTTCAGCCTCCACTGGAGTTTATGAGCAGCAACAGTTTACTAAACCTTTGTTGTCGCCCTGCAGGGGACCAGCTGAATTGTGCAGGATAAGAGTTTAAGTGAAGTATTTTGTCCTACATATCAAGGAAATGGAAAGCTGGGTTTTTGTCATTTGGAATGACAAATTTTAGTTGTTTATCATATCTCAAGTACTCTGAAGCTTGACTGTGTTTTTTTTTTTCAAACCAAAAAAAGAAACATTTGCAGAACGTGACAATAGCTAGAATTTTAAAATCCAAAGCTGTCAAAAATGTTTTGATCCCAATTAAAGAGACCCTTTGCAGCAATTTACACCTTGTCTGGAATTTCAAAGGGTTCTTGATCCCAATCCTTACATGAGTAAATTCTGTTTTATTATTAGCATATTGCAGGGAATAAATCAATATTGAAAAGCTGTTCATATTTTCAGATAGCTGGATATTGATAATGTGTCAGAGGGATCAGTGCGAATGCAGAAAATGTCATATACAAACTCATTGTTACTGGTAATAGTAGGAGCTGTAGCAAATCAGGAGTGGATGTGATTTCATATCAATGTCACTAGGGCCTCAAATCAGACAGGAGTGAAGTCATCTTCCTTGTGCAGATAAAGAAACTGAGATTTGGGGAGCATCTCTCTCTAACTTGGCTGTAGACTCAGAACAAACCTTCAATTTCAAATCTTATATCTTTACGGGGAAACTCATTGACTTCTCTCTTGATGTACAGTTTTATTCCATAGAATTGCTATAGTTTTTTGCCTTTGAAAAAATCATAAATATTGCAGGACCCTGACAATAAGTCTGTTTCTCAAGACAGAGGGCAGTAGTCTGCATCTTTTCAAGATGATGTAATATCTTGTTGCCATAATCACATGTAAATACTGCTTGCTCGTTTGGTTTCTCCAGCGTTGATTTGGTACTGCCATATGTACCCTCTGAAGTACGTTACAATTCTGGGAAGTAGGTGCTTTTGTTATCACTTCACAGCTGAGAAAACTGAAATCCAAATTAAGTCCCACAGTAAATTAAGTAGCCAGAGCTGAGCATCAACCCCAGGCAGTCTGGTCCAGAAGCCCTGATGCTAGTCAGATAGCACTCATATAACATACCTGCTTTAGTCCATTTGGATGCTCTAATAAAAATACCGTAGATGATTCAGCTTATAAATAACAAACACTTCTTTCCAACAGTTCTGGAGCTGGGGAGTCAGATATCATGGCCCCAGCAAATTCGTTTGTCTAGAGGGGAGAGCCCACTTCTTTAGAGTAGGTCCTTCTTGCTGCATGTCCTCACATGGTGGAAGAGGTCAGGATGCTTTCTAGAACCTCTATTATCCCAACACTAATCCCATTCAAAAAGGGCTCCACTCTTGTGACCTCATTACCTCCCCAAGGCCCCACCTCCTAATACCATCCCCTTGAGGGCTAGAATTTCAACATGTGAATTTGGAGGGGGGGAAGACAAACATTCAGACCTTAGGAATGCCAAATTTTATAAATGATGTC